CTGCGGTCCTTATTACCATCCGTGAGCCGTAAGGTCAAAGAGTCCTAAAAAATGTAATATCTGACCCCTATGACAAGCACATATTGTATTTTCTATGTATTCTTCTTGGTGTGCTTTGTGTATTTTTTCCACATAATAAGAGTAGAGCTGTGGGAGGGGCCCAGCTGGCTCCACCCACTGCAAGCTGCCTGTAGAAACCTAGGGAAGGGGCGGAGACAAGACCAGTCACCCTGTGCAATCAGAGAGAGCAACAGTCAATGGTCTTTATTACAGGAGGGGGCGGAGACTAGACCAGTCACCCTGCACAAGGAGAGAGAGAGAGCAGCAGTGACCGGTCTTTATTACAGGAGGGGGCGGAGACAAGACCAGTCACCATGCACAAAGAGAGAGAGAGAGCAGCAGTGAGCGGTCTTTAGTACTGCCCTCTCTCCTTGTGCAGGGTGAGTGGTGTTGTCTCTGCCCTCTCCTGTAATAAAGACTGGTCACTAGACCGCTCACTGCTGATCTCTCTCCTTGTGCAGGGTGACTGGTGTTTAGGTAGGTGCGGGTGGTCGCAGGGGGATCACGAGTTGCTGGTGGTGCATTTTAATGGGGAGGGGTTGAGGGTGTAGGTGGTGCACTCCCAGCTTGGTGCGGCTCGCACCCAGGTGACACCATTGCAGGGGGTGACACCAAAATGGCAGTCATTGGGGTGTCACTCCCTCTAAAAAGTGTCAGAGAGAGGCATACCTCATCCCGCCATGTAAACGTCGCCTCCTGTCCCTGCTGGCGTCCACCAACAAGATGGCTGCCGGCAGGCGTCAATCAGAAGGCCGTGCATGCACAATGACGACACGGCTGGGTGTCACCTGGTCTGGAGACCGGGTGACACCTGGCCTCGCATCGCCCCTGGGGTCTCCCAATAAAATGCCACCTGAGGCAAAAACGTCAGCCTGCCTCATGATAGGAATGGCCCTGCTTTCAGGTATGCCATTTAAAGGGAGCTCAGTTTCCCTGCACTGCACCATTATTATTATGAAGGTGGACTAACCCTTTAAATAAAACAAGGAAGGGGGGGGGGGGTAGTGGTTGTACTTTGGCTGCAGTTCTAATGGTTCTATTGACCCAGGTGATAGAAACCCAAATCCTGCAAGAATGGTTCTCTTTATAGTCCAGTATGGATATTGCTTGATTGCTTTATGTTGCCGGGTGACCCCGTATCCTTACCGCAGTTCCCTGTTGTCTTTCCCCAGGCAGGTTCAGAATGTGCACACAGGCCTTGACATGTGGGTTCCGGAATACCAGGAGATTCGCGGCAGGATGATGACCGGCCATGTGGAGTATCAGATCATTGTCGTCACCACTCTCCCCGCGTTCAAAACGGCTAAACACGAGCCGAAGGATGTGGTCCAGTTTGTGGTGAGTACGGCTTGATGGTCTACAAGTCATTGAACAGTATTGGTCAGACCTGGACCTGTGTCTGTTTGATCACCCCATACCCCAGGAAGGGGGGAGACAGACCTGGGCATTTATTGGCCCCCGGGCCACATCCGGCCCTTTGACTGTCTGTGTTCGGTCCGCAGTCTGGACACGAACTGAGTGGCGGTTCTGTCCGGACTGTGATAGCCAACCTACGCTCGGTTATGGCGGGCTGACAGTAGATGCGTGGGCCTCCAAGGCAGGTGCATCCACAGCAAAGCAATTGCCCAGCACAGGTTCCCCCTCCTCTTCAGACGTTGGTTGCTAGGACTGCTGGCATCCTAGCAACCAATGATGTCAGGTGTCCACAGGCCCGGATTCCCAACAAGGCCACCGAGGCCCGGCCTTGATGGCAGGGAGAGTAAATCCGGCCCTGGGTGTCCACCTCCTCTGCAGGCATTGGTTGCATTGGTTGCTAGAGTTCCTAGCAACCAGTGACGTCAAATGTGTTCCTCTGGAAGTCCCAGTCATCCCATAACATCTATCATGTTTGTAGACGGGGCGTTGCGGATGGTTGGTGACACAGCTCTGGCGTGTTCCCCCTCCATGATGAGACAAATACATGTAGACGTGGCTTTAGATCTGTGATACTCCAATTTGCCATTGGGTTAAAAATAATAGAATCTAACACTTTAGTATGCGGCCCTCATTGTCTTAAGCCCTGGGCTAGGGAGAGGGGCGCACAATCCACCGACGCTCTTTGACTTGGGATACAGTTACCGTTCTTGGCATTTTTTCTGTATTTTGATGGAGAGTCGGGTGACATCAGATTGATTCCAGACCCTTCAATGGCATTAACATCGCGAGGAAACGTGTGAAGCCATGCCTGGTATTAAAACACCCCAAATTGAATTAATAGTATCTACTCCTGGCACGCAGCGGCCATGTTATTTTCATTTGAATTCTGATCTACGACTGCCAAGAAATAACGAGATGATATAAGGCCTGCCAGGACTCGGGTTTAAAGGAGCACACCCTTGTGGTGCCGCAGTACAACTGACTTAAAGGAAACTTGTATCGAGAGAAATATGGAGCCTGGCATTGCTGATTTCTCCCAGGTGCCCAAGTTATAACCTTTTCTTGGTGCCTTGTATCCTATATAGACTTGTATAGTGTTCATTTACACCAGGGGTCTCACACTCATTTCACTCGGGGGCCACTTGAGAAATTATTTTCTCCCATGGGGGCCGCTTGCCAAATTTCATACTTTAAAATAAAATGTAACTATATCCGGAATGGTACTAAGGACACCAATACACACACAATAAGTCCCTATTCATATCTGTAAGTTAAGGTGTGATTAGGGATTCCTCTGTCAGGAACTTACGTTTCCCTGCAGCAGGAATCCCTAATGTGGCTTTTACAAGCGGCAGCTGTCACCCATTCATGTTAATGATCAGGTGACAGCCGCTGCATGTAAATTCTAGAAGTATCCTGTTGCACTCCTTACCGATTTCAGAAGACCTGGAAGATCAGGCGGGTGCTTGAAATGACCACGGGTGGCACCGTGTATCACATGCAGTCCAGAAAGGTCACCAGCACACCATTAAGGTGCCCACACACTTTGCCATTATTGGACGATAATCGTATGCGATTGACTTTTCGTTCGATAATCGCAAGGTGTGTGGGCAGTGTGCAACCGCAAATACTGTACAATCGTAAGACTTAAAACTTTCAAGCATGTTCAAAAACCGATAATCGTAAGGTGTATGGGCACCTTTATGGTGTGCTGGTGACATTTCTGGACAGCAGCTGCATGTAAGCGCCTGCATACCACATGTAATGGTATGTGATATGATTACATGCGGTAAGAAAGCACACCCCCACCCCCACCCCAGCCCCAATGCACATTAAAAAAAAAACTGCCCTGAAAATATAAAATAATGCACAACCCCATACACATAAAAAAACTGCCCCTGCACATATGAAATAATACACCCCCCATAGACATTAAAAAAAACTACCCCTGCACATATAAAATAATACACCCCCCATACACATAAAAAAACTGCCCCTGCACATATAAAATAATACACCCCCCCATACACATAAAAAAATGCCCCTGCACTAGCTCCAGCCGAAAGGATCTCAGTGCTGGAGCTGACAGGAGCAGCTCTGCGGTCTGCATCTGACCCAGGTGCAGACCGTGTCGCTGCTCCTGCAAGTCAGGTACGCGGTCCGTGACTTGTCAGCTGGCTGCGGGCCACATAGTACCGACACGCGGGGCGCAATTAGCCCGTGGGCCGGTACTTTGAGACCGCTGATTTACACCGATCACCCATAACATTATGACCACTGAGAGGTGAAGTGAATATCATTCATAATACATTGATTATCTGGTTACAATGGCACCTGGAAGTGGGGGGGATATGTTACAATGGCACCTGGAAGTGGGGGGATATATTACATGGACACCTGGAAGTGGGGGGGATATATTGGGCAGCAAGTGAACGTTTTGTCCCTGAAATTGATGTGTTGGAAGTAGAACAAATGGACAAGTGTAAGGATTTGAGCGACTTTGGCAAGAGCCGGAATGTGATGACGATTATTCTTACTACAGACAGGACCGGATTTACCCTCCCTGCTGCCCCAAGGCCGGGTTCCGCAATGTTAGGTGGGGAAGGGGATGGACCTGCTGGAGTCTAATTGCAAGTGATCTAGGTGACATCGCCATGATCACTTGTAAAGAAACAAGTGGTTTCCCCTATTCTTCATATAGCCCGGCTTGTGCAAAGCAGGGCTAAATGTAGAAAACAAATTACCGCCCGGCGCCCGGAACTCAATGTTCCGGCCGTCGGGAGACTTCAAACCTGTGCCGCCTCTCAAGATCAACTTTACTCAACTTTTAAACCCCGGGGGAACCCTTGAAATTATTTTTAGTTTCCGAGGAACCCATGCTAAAAATGATTGCCGCACTGCTTATGGTACATTAGCATGATCGGTATGTCGTTGAGAGTTTTAAATAAAAGAAAAATGATGTTGTACCTTGAGTATTTGACACCCAGGGCAAATACTCCGTAATAATTTTGAAATGAATAATAGTAACAGAAAATAAATGCAGTGAAAAATGTGTCCTCTAACACCAGTGGTGGTGTCCACCAACACTGATGGTGATTTCCCCCAACAGCAATGGTCCATGCACACTGCCTGGCCAAAAAAAAGGTCAGCACCTGGAGTTAGCTAAGCAAATAGGTTGCTTCAGTTCGTCAGGCCTAGGTTCAGCAACATTATGTCTCCCAAAAATGAGGTCAGCTGCTACCTGAATATACTGAATGATCAGGTTTTTCCATCAATGGATTTTTCTTCCCTGATGGCACATTGGGCATATTCCAAGATGACAATGCCGGGATTCATCGGGCTCAGATTGTGAAAGAGTGGTTCAGGGCAGTGGTGTCCCGAAGCTGGGTGCCACCCGGGGACGGAGACCGTCGTGACGTCATCATGCAGGCGCGTGATGTTGTCATCAGTGGCGTAACCAGAGTTCTGGGCGCTTATTTCTTTCATCCCAGCTGGGCACTGCTCTGTGTCCCAGCGGGGATGAAAGGAATCACGGCCGCGCCGACAAAACGGCAGGAAAATGTCACTTTCGGCATTTAGCCGAAAGTGCCATTTTCGACCGGCGCCCCCCCTTCACTGTTTGCCCGGGGCCCGCGCCCCTGCTGCCCCCCCGGTTGTTACGCCACTGGTTGTCATCACACATACGCGATGGTGTTTTTGACGCCTGTTGGTGGCCATCTAGGTGATGGACGTCGGCAGAGAGAGGAGAGGACATTCACCCGGCGGGATAAGGTATGCCGCCGGGTCCCCTCCTCTCTTCTGACACAGTCGGGCTCTCGGTCCGTGACCGAGTGCCCGACATTTCATAAGGGGTGATACCAAAATGACTGTCAGTCATTTTGGTGTCACCCTCCAATTGTGGCACCCAGGTGCGGGCCGCACCCCCCTTGTGACGCCACTGCTTCAAGGGGCATGAGACATCATTGTCACACATGGATTGGTCACCACAGAGTCCAGACCTTAACCCCATTCAAAATCTTTGGGATGTGCTGGAGAAGACTTTACACAGTGGTCCGACTCTCCCATCATCACTACAAGGTCTTGGTGAAAAATGAATGCAACTCTGGCGGGAAATAAATGCTGTGACGTTGTATAAGCTTATGGAAACGATGTCCGGGCGAATGCGTGCCGTAATCAAAGATAAAGATGGTCCAACAAAATATTAGCCTGTGACTTTTTTTGTCCAGGCAGTTTGTTGGTCAGTTTTAAATAGCCACTCTGCATTGGTGGTCATTGTAGGTGGGAGATCAATGTGCCACTGCTCAAGGAACTCATAGAAGCCTCTAAGGAGCCCTGCTAGGGAAAGGGCGGGTTAGATCTTCTATCAGGTTTTTATTTTGGCGTCCATATTGAAAAGAATTCCTCTCACTTCCAACAGGATATTAAATGATGGGAGATCTCTCCAGCGGAGTTGGGAAGAGTTAGAACTTCCGGCAATGTTTTAATGTTGATGTCTGGTGACTCCCATTTCATGTCTGGGCATCACATGGACAGGAACTATGAAATGTCCCTAATGGGGTCACAAGCAGAGGTATAAAACATTTTAAAATCTTCTACACTACAAAAACATTTGGTTGAGGTTAGACTTCAAGACCTTCATCTAGTTCCAGTTGCTCATTTCCCTGTCGTGTACCTGCCTGTAGTACAGCGTTGACTGAATATCAACCAATCCATTGTCCTCTCATTAGCCAACTACATGCAGGTCCAATGATATCACGCCTTTCATTGGTTGCTTGTCAGTTGTGTGTTTGCTCCTTTTCTTCTTTCACATTAATTTCCCTAATTGTCTTTATATTGCAACATGGAAGATTTATCCTTTCTCCAAGGTTATATTCCCATTTATTATCACTAAAATATTTGATCCTTTTATAATGTGAAATCATTCAAATGCATTATATCATGAATGTGTGTAAATGTGCAATATTGTCGTTGTCCAGCAGAGGGGGCTGAGATACTGTGCTACGTACGAAGAAAGTTTTGTGTGTGTGGTGTTGAAGGTTTCCAGTAGAGGACAACATTTGGGCGATTGTCCCGTCATCACAAAAATAAGGCAAAATAAAGGAAGAGTACAGTTTCTATAGTTGAATTATAGATTTTCTGGCCATGTTCTTATATTTGCATGTATTTTTTGATAAAAACTTTGTGTGTGTATATATATATATATATATATATATATTACACAATTCTATCTCAAGCTGTCTGTTGTTTGTTAATCCATGGGGTATAAATATGCTTTATGAATTTTGTTTTCCCTCTCAAATTGCAAATTGGACCATGCTTTGTATAGACTTCTTTTTGGGACTTCGTGGATTAATTGCAGCTTTAGGATTGCTTATAGGATGCAGGCTTCTAAGCTAGGGACACCCACTGGTCCAGACTGACATCTACCCATGAAGGCATTTCAATATTTGCATAACTCCTCCCAAGAGCCAGCCCACTGCTTACATCTTGAGGGCTCTTGAGAGGAGTACAGAAACAGTGTGCTGTGATGTTTTCAGTAAGCTATGTTTTTAGATTGTAAGCTCTCACAGGCAGGGCCCTCCTTGCCATCTTGTCTTGAATCGTATTGTAATTGTTAGCGATGCACCGATACCCAAGTGCGTCCCGAGGCTGGGTGGCACCCGGAGCGGTTACCGCCATCGCGCACGCGTGGCGATCTTCTGATACCTGCCAGCGGCCATCTTGGCGATGGACGCCGGCAGAGAGATGAGCGGACAGTCACCGGGCGGGATAAGGTATGCCGCTGGGTCCCCTCCTCTGCCCTGATGCTGTCGGGAGTTTGGTCCATGACTGAGCGCCCGACTTTTCAGAGGCGAGTCATTACACGGTACCCGGCTTCCTGATTGTCCAGGAAGCCAGCTCCATGCTCCCTCGTCACCAGGTAGCATGGAGCTGACTTCCCAGCCAATCAGGTAGCCAGGGGGCGAGTAATGACTCCCTCGTCACCTGGTGAAGAGGGAGCATTTAACCGGCTTCCCGGCCAATTAGGAAGGCGGGCGGCGTGTAATGACTCACCGCCCAGCTCCCTGATTGGTCGGGAAGGTGGCCAATCAGGAAGCCGGGTGGCTAGTCTTTACACGCCTCCCAGTTTCCTGATTGGGCACCATAGAGACAGATTGCAAGCTAATCATTACACGCCGCCCAGCTTCCTCAATGGGACTTGGATTATCGGTGCATCCCTAGTAATTGTAATGCCCTCCTTATATTGTAAAGCACTGTGCAAACTGTTGGTGCTATATAAATCCTGTATAATAATAATAATAGCCATAATATCACTGGGTCTGAAATAAGGTGTTTGATGAAAATGGTTTTCAAAAATTTCACTATCGTGTTGATGAGGAGGACAAAGCGGAACCAGGTAAGGCAAAATATAAGCAGATTAAACTTCAGCATTAAATGTTTTCTTAGAACCGATAGGCGCCACGTGTGTAATTAGAAAGTAATGTTATTGGATATGCTGAGGTTTGTCCTTATGTCTTTATATTGTTTCTGGTCCGGCAGTTACCCGGGGGGTATGTGTGTCTTTTCTCATGGGCTGTCGGTTGTGTTTTGCAGGTGTCCAAGAAATACAGCGAGATTGAGGAATTCTACCAGAAGATTTGCTCCCGTTACCCCAAGAACTCGCTGCCTCCATTCCCCAAGAAGGTGTTATTTGTTGGGGAAACAGATATCAGGGAGAGAAGAGCTGCTTTCAATGACATTGTGAAGGCCATCGCTCAGGAGAGAGAACTGTCCACCTCCGCTGACCTGTGCGATTTTCTAGGTGTGTGCCAACTGAAGGGTCACAACAATACTTTTAATGGTTCCTTTCAGCAGCCATCAGAGTTCTGGGTTATAGGTAGATGGAAGAGAAGATTGGGTGACCAGTCAAAGCGGACTTTTTATTAAAATGTGAGTTATTGCTATTTTGCAGAGTCCCAATCCCCATGTTAAAACATTAGTAAAAAAAAAAAACCCTCACCTTCTGGTCTTCTCGCCAAAGTGTTGCTGACGTCACTGAGCTTACCACTGAGTGATGTTACCAAAAACTGAGGATCCCAAGTTTACCAGAAATGTGCTTCTTGCAAGATTTAGGTTCCTCAGCTCTATCAGAAGAATCCCACCAGAAGGATCAGTGATGTCACTAGCACTTAGATGAGGGCATTGGAAGCCAGAGTATAAGGTACAGAACCTTTTCATTCTTCTCCATCATCATTTTTGTAATTTTTCCAAGAGTTTTTACATGGGGGGATGGGGCTCTGGTAAATCGTGGTACCTTACATTTCATCATACAGCATACTGTGTGGTCAAAGGTTATGGACAACTTGACCATCACGCCTATATGGACAGAGTTATGGACATCCCTCTAAGGGTTTGGGTGTTTCCATCGAAGGGTCCTGTTATTTCTACCGCTTACAAAGACATTTTAGATAATTGTGGGCTTCCAAGCTGATGGGGACAGTGGGGTAGACCTTTTTCTGTTCCAGCATGACCAAGGCCAGCTCCATTAGGACATGGTTTCATGAGTTTGGTGTGGAGGAACTGGAGAGCCCTGAGCTCAATCCTACCGATCACCATTGGGATGAATAGGAACACTGGTTGCAAGTCCGATCTTCTCATCCAACATCAGTACCTGACCTCACAAATTCTGTTTTGGCTGAATGGACACAAATTCCACAGATACATTACAAAGATTTGTGGAAGACCCTTCCTAGAAGAGTTGATGCTGTAATAGCCGCAAAGGGCTGTTCCAGCATGACTGTACCCCTGTCCACAAAGCCAACTTCATAAATACATGGTCTGATGGGTTTCATGTGGAGAAACTCAAGTGTCCTACACAGAGTTCTGACCTCAACCCTACTGATCACCTTTGGGATGAATAGGAACACTGATAATGAGCTTGGTCTTCTCATCCAACATCTGTAGCTGACCTCACTTCCTGTTCTGCTGACAATGGTTTCACCAGACAGGAAATGGGGCAAAATCTGCAACAGAGACATAGACAGTAATACAAATCTGAAAGGGGGTTAAGCCTTCCACTACTCTACTAAAGGAAAGCACACAACCCAGAGAAGAGGAGAGCTCTGGAGCCTTCCAGAGTAAGAGATAAGGGAAGTATTACAGCTTATTCCTCGACCCCTAGAGTTAACAAAAATTTAACCCTTGCAGGTGGTGGTCAGGCGGGGGAGGAGGGGGGTGGAGGCTACTGTAAGTGTACATTCAGCTTTAAGGTTCACATTATAATTGTGTTTAAAATGCATTAATATGTCATGAATGTGCACCCTTGCATGTATGTGGGTATGAATGGGCCCCCATGTGAACTGTCTTGCTGCATACCTTCTAATGCCTTGTAAAATTTGATTGACAGGTCGTATTGTCGGCAACTTTGTTGAGGCAAAAGGCTCAAGGCCTTATAGGAATCAGCCAGAAGATGGAGATTTCTTCAAAGATGAAGAACCACCAGAAGACGCCATTTTGCAAATCGCATCCAAACTGCGAAATAAAGTGACTGAACCTCAAAAGAAGGAGGTGGAGGTGGAGGAGGAGGAGGAAGAAGAGGAAGAAGTAGATTTTGATCCACTGGGAATAATGAAGTAAGTTTTCTGTTTCTTGTCACTTATGACTGATAACTTATTAAAATGAGTTTGTCACTGCTCAAGGAACCCCTAGAAATCTCTGACGGTACCCTGGGGTCCCATGGAACCATGGCTGAGAAAGGAGTAAGGGCAGGGTATATAATTTGTTTCCAAGAACGATCATTTCTTGGCAGACCAATCAGTGCCCATGCGTTAGAAGTCTCTTTTCCTGTATGGCAGGGGTAAGCAATTTTGGCACTCCAGCTATACTGAAGCGGCAAACCCCATCATGTCTCTGCCACTGGGAGTCATGCCTGTGGCTGTCAGTCTTGCCAATGTCTCATGGGGCTTGTAGTTTTAAAACAGTTGGAGTGCCGAGATAGCCTACCTATGATCTATGGGTACTTTCAGTCAGAAGTCAGACCAATCTGTTATTGGGTAAAGGAACCGAATAAATCAATTCATCACTGCTCAAGGAACCCTTAGCCACCTCTGAAGATACCCTAGGGTTCCATGGAACTGTAGCTGAGGAAGGCTGCTGTAAAGTGTAAGGCCAGGGCATTTCATTATGACCATTTGTTTCCAAAAATGATCATTTCTTGGCAGACCAATCAGTGCCCATGTGATAGAAATCTCTTTTATTCTATGGCAGGGGAAGGAAACTTTGGCATTGCTGAAGCTACAAACCCTATAATGCCTCTGCATCTGGAAGTCATGCCTGTGGCTGTCAGAGTCTTGCAATGCCTCATTGTTCTTGTAGTTTCAAAACAGTCAGACTGCCGAGCTTGCCCACCCATGGTTTATGGGCAGTGGGGAAGCTATACATTCTGTCACCCGGGGCAAAGGCTCAGTAGAGAACCTATAGCAGAAGCCAGGCCAAGCTGTTATTGGATAAGTGTTATTGGGTAGAGAGGGGTGGACCACTCCGGCCTTTGAGCTGTCGTGGAACTACAAGTCCTATGAGGAATTGCAAGACCGACAGCCACAGGCATGACTCGCGGAGTGAAGATGCACATACTAATGCAAATACGCGTCAGGTGCACCTGTGTAGGAAAATGATGACCGCGCCACACATGTTGGGTATCGCCGCATACACCAGAGTGAGAGCAATAATTCTAGGACCAATATTTGTGGATAACTCTGAACTGATGACCTGTACAGGCTTTTAAATCGTTGTGAATGGACAATTTGGGGTAGGGTATTTTTTCGCCGTATCACGGGGCACCCAGTTATTCAGCTTGGCATGTTGGGTATCAATTTACTCAGCACAACCTTCTTTTTTATATTTTTCCAAAAAAATGGGTATTATATTGTGTTTCTGTGCATTAAAGTTAACTTAAGTGTAATTTTTACTCAAATTTTGGGTTTGATAAAGAGTTGCACTAATACTGTGTGACGTAAACATTTGCAACTGCCGCCATTTTATTCTACAGGCACTCTGCTTTCAGGAAATAATTTGACTTCATTGTAAGTCATTCTCAGGCTTAAAATGTAGATTATAACTTGTGCAAAAAGGCCGACAGGGTAAAGCTTTGTGAATTGAGTCTAATGGCTTCATTTTCTCCTCTACGGACCTTCACAGCAGTGGCATAACAATCGCCGTAGCGACCCAGCCGGGCACTATGGGGCACAGGGGGGCCCGGCCAAGAACATCCCGCTGATGCCGTGTGGGCCACCTGGGTCGCTATGACATCTTAGGCTGCTGGCGGTCACTGGCGGGTGTGAGGAGGGAACATGTCGCTGTTAGATCACTGACAACCTGTCAGTGATCTGTGCAGCGGCGCGTTCCTCCTAACAGCCGCTGCTGTGTCAGTGACAGCCAGCAGCTGCGGAGGAGCATGCTGGGCCTTGCGTCGGCAGTGAAGGAGGAGGTGAGGCCCGGCGACATAGGAAGAGGGGCCAGTGACGTAAGAGGATACGGGGCCCGGCGATGGAAGAGGAGACAGGGCCCCGGCGACCGTGCAGGAGGAGGTGGCGGACAGCAGAACGGGGCTGACAGGTAAGAGGTGTGCAGGTGTGTCGCCAGCCCACCTGAGATCCTGCAGAGCCCACCATAGAGAGTCTATGGTGGGCTCTCTAGGGTCTATGGTGGGCTCTCTAGGGTCACTCTCTGGTGAGCTGTGTGGGATCTCAGGTGGGCTCTGCAAGGGGCGTAACTAGAAATCGCAGGGCCCCATACAAAATTTTGCTATAGGGCCCAGTGATTTCTAGGTACGCCTCTGCTTCACAGGTAATGTCAGCCAGAGGCCAGCGGTAAATGTCTGTGTGCTGATTTTATTGCTTGATCTTATATACAGAAGTCTTCAGAATTTGTTATAATAATTTGCATTCAGAAAAGTCAGCTGATCGATGCAAACGAACATTTTGTGACCTGAAAAAAAGAACTTTTGCTCTTGTACTACCCTATGGCCACACGAGGGAGCCGTTGCACAACATTTCCTATGATCTGCCCCACCAAGTGCTGTTGGGATGAATTGATTGCAATGTGCCATCCTGAAGCTTTGCTTGCTGCTGTCTCGGTCATGCAGTGAAAGTCTCTTGCTGCTCTGCTGCTGTCATTTGCAAATTGCATATTAGTATTATCTGTCCGCATTGGATTACCCTATGGGTGTCATATAATGGGTTCAGTAACTATCATTGGTAAAGTTTCATGTCAAGAGACTTCTATACATTGTTACAGTTTGTACATACAACTGGATCTGTCCATTGCTGCAGTCATTGGTGCGCCATACAAAGGAGTCTCACTACTTTGGCTGCATTTTGTGTAAAATAAATGGGAGAGTTGTTGGGGTGGTATATTGGCATGTCTACAGCATGTGGGCATTGAGATCTGTGACAGTTCTGTTGTATTTATTGTAGAAGCGTAAAGCCTTTATAATGGAGTCATTGAGCTCCTGCAGCAAATCAAATCAAGCCCGCCTCATTTCCTGGCTGGAGGACATCCAGCGTCTTCTAGCACTTTCCACCCCAGCCTGACTGTCCCTGGCCCCGCCCTGTCCATTCATTGGATTCCAGTTCTTTCAATCATTGAGGCTCAGCATCACATGTGGGAGCTACCCAGTGAAATTTGCATGCGATTGCAGCCTGCCTAGGGACCCCACGCCTCCAGACTGACATCTACCCATGAAGGCATTTCGATATTTGCATAACTCCTCCCAAGAGCCAGCCCACTGCTTGCATCAGGGCTGAGGGCTCTTGAGAGGAGTACTGAGGAAAGGTGCTGTGATGTTTTCAGGAAGCTATGTACAGCACTCTGTCAGCTCCTCCCATCAGCCATTATCTGCCTGCATTGCATAGAGATGCACCAAGACCCAGTGACATCACTGGGTCTAAAATAAGGTATGGAATAAAAACAATAAGGTTTTATTTAAAAATGTCATCAGCATGTTGATGAGAGGGGAGGGAGGATTAAAACAGATTAAACCTTAGTTTTAAATAAAATACAGCTTCACAGTTTTGTATCCTTTGTTAGCTCTCGGTGCTGCTGATCTCATGCAGCCCATTTGCAGACACTTCCTGTCTACGTGCACTCCAGAGATGGCTGCCTGGCATTTCACAAGGTGGATTTCCTGATGGTGACAACAGCAAATCATGACTGCATGATGTGTGTTAAAACGGCCACGTGTAGTCTCCAGTGTGACAACACAAGAGCACAAGTGGAAGACGGGGACAGAGCGTTGTCACCCTATAATAGGAACGAGAACCTTCATGGCAGCATCAGCAGGGATTATTTTAATGAATGCTGCAGAACAGAGTCCTGAGTGGGAGAGCCCCGAATGTGACAGGTCCACTTGTATGGGAGCCTATAGTATAATGATTGACTGAAATGTGCTGTGTGAAGGGTTGTGGTGCCTAAACATAGAAAATGAGCACATACCATTGTTCTTGTTTCCGCCGGCCGGTACTGAAGCACTTTTTATTTCCAGACTTGGCTTTCTTTTATAATTTTTGTTTTAGTAAAGTAAACCCGCCCAAACTAAATGAATTGTCGGGATCCAGAGGTCCCTTCACGGAGGCTTAGAAATGTTCATGAGCACCCCATGCATGCACCATTTCTGGCATTGCACCGCAACACACCGCATTTGTCCAGGTACAGTGCTGGACATATCCCAGGAGCCGGGTCGCCAGTGCTTGCGCCCAACTTTTGAGGTTTACTGTAGCTGATGTCAGTGGTGCTCCTAAAACAATTCCGCTGGCTCCTGGTTTGAACAGATTGGTTAGTGGATTGGACAGGCTGGCTCCTGGTTTGGACAGATTGGTTAGTGGATTGGACAGGCTGGCTCCTAGTTTGGACAGATTGGTTAGTGGTTTGGACAGGCTGGCTCCTGGTTTGGACAGGCTGGCTCCTGGTTTAGACAGATTGGTTAGTCGTTTGGACAGCGTTGAGTCATAATGAATAGGCTGCCTTAACACAACGCATGTTAAAGTGTGAATCAGTCCTCAACATAAAAGCTATGTCCAAGAGCAGCCACAACAGCTTGCCTGCTATTGTCATATCTATCCATTCTCCTAAAGCCACAATTACTAGCACTGTAGTACTGTACATAGTCCACAATACCTATATATGGAGATGACTACATCGGATTTAAACTACAACTCAGAATCTGTTTATCTTCCTGTATATCGGAGATGACTATTGGTGTGAGGATGCATTGCCTGTTCTAGAGAGGGAAGCCCCCCGCCGTGCCTCCACTTCCAGGTTACCATCGTATTATTATTAGCAGTTGCTATTTTTGATCCATTCTTTGTAGAAGATAGGAGGAAATCTCGACCCTTTCCAACGTGAGAAAATCCAGAACCCCGAAGAGATCTATAAAAATATTTCTGCAGCTGTGAGATAGAGAATCACAGGAAGTCTGGGGGACAGGACTGCTACTGCCATTAGGTGAGATGAATATCCCAGGGATGGATGTAGAGCAAAAGAAATGAAAAATAGTTCTACATAAGAAGCAACATCAACTCTTCCAGCTGCAGATACTGAGAGCATTACAGCTGTGCTTAACGCAGAACTCCGGGAA